GGGCTGAACGGACTAGATAGTCCAGTCCGAACGGACCAAGTGTTGGACCGAACGGATTGACCCGTCAGACCGAACAGACCTAGTTAAATGACTGGTTCGAACGGACCAAGTGTCCAGACCGAACGGACTACTAAGCAGTCCGTTCGGTCTGGGTTTCAGATTTAATTTTAAAATCCGGAGTTAGGGTTAATCACTTGAATAAGAGGAGATCAATAACCCTAACACTAAGGAGCCGAAATAGAGAACTTCTTCAGACCTTTTTGAAGAGTCTAGAGGGTTGAAGAAGTGATCTAAAATCTCGTTTTTCTCAAAGCACATCATCGAATAGAAGATTCGAGTCCTAGCAGACAAGTTCCAAAGGTTGGAATCCATCCCGAGGTGTGGATACGTGTAGAGGGCAAGGTATTCTTCCTGTCTACAGTGATCGGACGAACATATCAATTGATACTGTAATACCCCGAAACCCGATTTGAATATTTAATTATTAAAAATGAATAATTAAATAGTGATATCACGGAATCACCAAAAGTGATGGTACAATATCGGGGAGAGGCACGAGGATCGTCACGTGCGGAAAGGACCGAGAAAAAATGAAGAAAAGGAAAAAGAAAAGAAAAAAAAAAGAAAAAAAATAATACAGGTTGGGTCCGCCGGACCAGGAATGGTCCGCGGCGGACCAACCGCTCAGTCGGAGTGGGGACTGGACAGCGCGGACTGGGAGAAGTTCGAAAAAAAAAATATAAACTGACTCCGGTCCGGCGGACCAGGAAGTTGATCCGGCGGACCGGGAATCGACAGATTGCAACTCGCCAACTTGCGGTCTTGGGACGCGGAATTCGCCGGATTCCGGGGCCCACTCACCGTCCAGTCGCCTCCCACGCCTCGAGGGTGTTGCAGGCTCGCCTATGGGTCTGGGCTCGAGCCCACTTGACCCCTCTCGCACGCCATAAACATCTCTCAATCATCTGCCTTAGCCATTTTCGGGCAAAACAAAGGAAGTAGAGAAAGAGGGAGAGATGGAGAGAAAAGCGACGAACCAGGGCAAGGGGAGCTCGGGGAAGCAAGGGGGAACGTCCCTAGACGTGTCCTGAAGGTGTTCACGTCGTTCACGTCGTGTGGAGCCACGAGAAACGCACACAAGCTCGGAAAAACTCAAGAACAAGGTGAGTGGCTTAGGTTGGATTTGCGAGATCTTGTTCTCAATGTGTGATGGTCCAAATCGAGTTTTCATTGCGTGTTTAAGGTTTAGAACATGTTTAGGGATGTCAAACTGTGTTTTAGTAGCATTTGGAAGCAACCCCGAATCGATTCGGGGGAGAAAAATCGAAATAGAATCGGAGAAATCGCGAGGGAGAAGAAAGTTCCAGTCCCGGTCCGCCGGACCACACGTGGTCAGCTCCGGACCGAGACTGGAACATTACGCACAAAGTCAGCCAGACTAATGAGACATTCCAGACCGAGAGAAAACACGGCCTGGTCCGCCGGACCAGTCCTGGTCCGTCGGACCAGACATGTTGAGATTTCCGCACACCGGCTGACCGAGAAGGAACGGACCAAAGGGGAAAGAGGCGTCTGGTCCGGGGCTGACCAGTCCTGGTCCGCTGGACAAGACGTACTCTGACAGAACGGACTCCGCCTGACCAAGAACCGGACCGAGATAGGGGGGAAGAACAGGCTGGTCCGGGGCTGACCAATCCTGGTTTGCCGGACCAGACTTGTTTTCCCTCTCGGACCGACTGACCAAGAGACGGAACGGACCAGGGGAGAAAGAAGACTGGTCCGGCTGACCAGAACTTGGTCCGCCGGACCAGGATCCGAGAAAAATGGGAGGAAAATCTGATTTCGACCGGGAAAAAGGGAACGGCCAATGGGGTTGGCCCGGGTCTGACCAGACTTGACCGTGGACAAACCAACCCCCACCAGAGGACAAGACTTCGCGATTGGGATCAATCGAACCGAGTTTTCGCCAGAACGTTGCGTAGCGTAGTGAGATGTGCGATATCGAAATACGAGTGATCGTTGTGTGATTGTATGCGGGTAGAATTTGCATGGCGTTAAACGGTAGCTCGGTAGGG